GGAAGGAGAATGGAGAAGGTCAGAAAGATCCAAAGTTTTCCTCCCCAAAGTAACACTTCCCATACATCAGCATGCTACGTCAGAATACCGATCGATCACATTAAAAGACACAAGCAAGTTACTAAAAAGCAGGTTTCAAGTCTAGCACTTTCTTTCTCTGATACATTTCCTTTGTGTAAAAGATGGTCACTGACAAATTTCTCAGATGCATCCTTTGAAACCTGAGAGCAGATCCCATCAAGCCTTTTAATGGGCAATTTATGAAGTCTCTGCTGCCGTATTAGCCATGTTCTTTTTACTTCCAAAATGAAATACAATCTTATGAACTGATTGAAAATATTACGGATGTATCATTTTCACTATATAACCACAGATGCTACAGTTTCCAGAAGCGTCAGGGAAATGATAGGAAAACACAGTAATTGAAGACAGAGAGAAAGCAGCCTTTAAAGAGAAGACATTTTACAAAATTCTGCTTTAAGAAGTTGTATCAGGCAACTTCCTCCTACAAAAAATATTGATTTTTCTGTCTAAAAATCACCAAACCTGAAATTGTTCATGTGGAAATAATTAAACAGTACTTCAAGTCCTCATTACTCCTCTAAAAATCAAACTTCATTTTCATAATGTGTTGTGGACCTTTGTCCACAGATTTATACAGTGTTAAATATATTGCCACATGCCATTTCTTTTAAAATTGCTCGACTAATTTATGTAGACTGTAAACCAAGTGAAACACATAGAAAATAATGTTAATCACCTTAAAACTGCAAAATATTCCAGTTAAAGATTTACAAAAAGGATTACTCAAGTAATTTAATGCTCAACTTGGATATCAATTGCAGAGGGCATTCTTGCAGGTATTATTAGATAAGAAATAACCATTTTGAAAATACAAATATCTGTGTCCGTAACCACCTGACATCACGCTTTTCTGATAGTATCGTTTAATAGATTTCCCCCCATTTTTTTTTGAGTTATTCTTCAGAAAGGAAGATGTAAATACCACAAGACCATTTTGGAATCCTCTTACTATGCCTGTACGAGCCTGTTCTTCACTTCTTTACAAGTAGAAGAGTGGGTTAATACCGTTCATTGAGCTGAGTCAAGACAATCATGCCTATCTGTAAAAGCCATCCAAAAAAAATATCATAGGGCTATTATCTAAGGCAATTACCATAGCTAAGACAATGAAAAGCAAAATCCACCAGACACCTGATTATGATCAAAGAAATCATGTGAAAAAGAGAAGGGACATAGAGAAACAAGGGCATACTGACAACAAGCCAAAGTGACTTGCAAACACTTAAGGATTTAAAAAAATAAAATGGTCAGTCGTTCTGCTCTGTCACTGACAATGGCATTACCAAGACAGCATTTCGACTTGGGAACTTTGCGTCTTCTCAACTGACCACTTAATAAGTTTGCTTTAGAAATTTTCCCTTGACTAACTGTTAATGTGCACAACTTTTCTCTGAAGGGTTAAACCCTCTACAAGGTATCAGGGGCATGGAGTTAAGTCAAGAGGCTGTGGTTTTCAGGCCTGGCTCTGGACTAAGAAAGACGGTGGGGCTTCCTGGTATGTAGACATTGGGCTAAAGCCAGGTTTAGGATTTTCCTCAGGAAGTTATGTTAAGCTTGCAGCTAGGAAAAAAAAACCAAACCAAAAAAACCCCACACTTTGGCACAAACTCATGACAGAAGATTAGTATTGCTATTCTCATCTCACAGAGGGACCTGAAGCAAAACAAGATACTCCATGGGAATACCACAGGTAAGTGATACAGGAAGAAATTCTCTGGTTCTTCTGACTCCCTGTTCAGTGCTTTATCCACCGGAGCACATTGTTAAAAGGAAAATAAAACCACCATGAAGCCTTTCAAAGTGATGCATGACAGAGCAGAGTACTTTCATATATTAAGGCATTTAAGTAGTGTGTACAATCTGCATTGCTTTACTTCTGATTTTTACAGAGCTTTATCCAAAATAACTCATGCTTATCAGTTACAACATTTTCTTATGTTTTTAATGCTGTTGTGCATGTGCCTCGTGACTTTTATAACAGAGATTTGGGTGTATTAACTTAAGTACCAATTCTGATAGCAGTTAGAAAAGATTAAGTCATATCACACATTTGTTTGTATGCAGATTCCATGCTTATGTACGCAAATAGGTACCAGATAGGTAGATATATGCATAAATGTACACATGTACACACAAGCAGACACTCAAAAGTAATAAAACAAAGCTATTATTTCTGATTCAAAGATCAAATTTTAATGTCTGTTTGATCTAATTAATTTCCAAAGTACACTTTAAAAAAAATATTTTTTGCCAAACACCACACATTCTACACCTTTAAAAAAAAAAAAAAGCTTTCATGATTGAAAAAAGAATTAAGAAAAATGCTAAAAATATAGTTACAGCTGATTAGGACTGGTTTCATATCAGCAAAAAACAAAGGATACGTTTATTTCATTTATGAATGAGTTCCTAGAGGAATTTTTAACTACCAGTCATGCTCTAAGCTCCAATGAAAACACAGTAGCAACAACAAACAAAAACGTTTTAGGAATATCTTGATGTCTTTTACAATACACAACCTGACATCACCTTCTATTGTTGTTTGGAACCTCTCTGAGACAATTTTGTTTGAAAGGAATAGGGAAAGTAGTACAGCTCTGGTGAATAAAAGGTAAGTCTTAAGAACAAACTACACCTGTGCCTAATGAACATTGCATTGACAGAATTAATTCTATCAGAAAATAATATCAGCAAAATTACACAGAATTCTGAACTGATCTGCATATACTCTTAAAAAAAAAAAACAGCCAAAAATAATTTCAATTGGTTGTGCGCACATGCAAGATGATTAACCTTTACTCTCAACTTATTATTCTATATGCCTAGAATTAGAAACAGAAACTCAGAATTTAGGTCTGTGAAGGAAGAAAAGCATTTCTAGCGGAAGGCTATCCAAGATGTTTTCCAGTTCTAATTTATATTACAGTATTAGAAGATTGGCTTTGGGTGAAGGAAGGCTATTATTAAAAAAAAAAATTCCTCCGCAATTTTAGTAAATTTATAATAAAATAACAGAATTTTAAAAAGGTTTAAAAAAATAGGAAAACAAACTCCTTACCACTGTGTCAATACTACATGAGGAATTCTAACCAAAACTAGAGTCCTAAAGAAAATGATCAAATATTAGTTACTACTATAGTTTTTTTTTCCCCAATGCATTTCTGGTTTTATTTAGGAATACAACACCACAAGGAACAGAATCAAAACGCAGTTCAACGATGTCGACATTACCATACCAATCATAGGAAGAAACCATTTTTCTTCTAAATTCAGTGAAGCAGCACATCACAAGTGTTGTTAAAAATAGCAAAACAGTTCCAGCTAAATTAAGTAGAAATAGTAATGATAAAGATGTTCTATCTCAGGATAAACATGTGTCTACCATACAACTATTCGTAACCTTAAAAAGTAAAAGCTGTGTTGAGCAACCTGCAGTGTGCTTGCATATATATTTGTTCTGGCAAGCACATGTGATATTTTCAGCTAGTATAGTAAGTTTTCAGTGAAACCACTTACCTTTAAAAGCTGATATTTTATAATTGTGCTGGATAGCAGCCACCATGTCCTTCCAGAAGTCATATTTTTTCTGACCATCATGCTGTAAGTGTCAAAAGGAACCTAGTCATTACACCAAGTATCAGCTATTTCAAGCTTTCACATTGAGACAGTGACAGGAATGTCATTAAGAAACAGAAGTACTTTGAAAATGGAGTAAAACAGTCTTAGACAGGAGGATTCAGGAGATCAGGACTCAGTACCCAGCTTGACCGTGGACTTTGGGTAACTGCAGACAAGTTATCTCCCTACTTCAGAAGGATACGGTGGGGTAGGGGGAAGAAGGGGAAAGGAGAAAGGATTCATATTTATGATGAACTCTAAAATATTACAGCAGAAGGGGGCATTAGACAGAACAGCAACTTACTGAATGAGCCATCCCACTGACATTTCGGAAAAAGAAGTGCCTAGAACTGCAAATACTGTACTTAATTAGTAGGTTGACATTATCTACAGCCTGGTACTCACATCACCTTCCACCCTCCAAAACGGCAAACCCCTTTGCTGTAATTTAGAGGTAAAGCCCTTCTGCCAACAACTCCACCCCAAACAATGTATGAAATACTCATCCAGAAGCCAGCCCGAGCAGCACTGCGTTACGCTGTACTCTGAAGGCTGCCAAACCCCAGCCCTGGCAGAAGGAGAGGGGAAGGTGATCTGCACTTGCGAACGGTCTCTTGCCATTCCTAGAAAGTCGCCCGGGCACAGAAGAGCTCCAGCTGACCTCAACCACCCTTTCAGCATCTCACCAAGCTATAGGAAAAGCTTCTCAACCAGCTGAGTCCCACAGCACTCTCCAATTCCACAAATTTTAGAAGCGCTGAATTAAACACAGATGCAATTATGCAGCCAGCCAGTACCACAGAGCAGAGGATTAGCTATGGAGCCTGTAAGAGGTGCCCAAGAGTTGCAAGGTACTGGGCAGCAGCTATAGCCTCTTTGAGTTTGTACACCATGCAAGTTATTGTGTAGTGTTGTTACACGCTTTCCACACCCACACTAGGATAAATTTCAATGTAACTGTTAACGGATTTCCTGGCATTGCTCTCTATGTCCTGGCCACTGCACTGATACCCAAATAATGACCCATTTTGTAAGCATAAAGCATTTTCTACAAGGGGAAACATTCAGAAACTGGGGGGGGGGGGGGGGGGGAAGGCCCACTT